ATAAACTTATCAATTTGATTAAACATAAACAAAAATGGTAAAAGTAAAAAGTAAGAATATTAGTTTTTTAATTATAAAATTTTAATTTTGGTTCTCTTTCTAAGATTGGTAAGTTGATGGGTTCCTAATAAAAATTTATTTCGCACTTCTGCTACAACACTTCGGATTATTTGATGATGTTGTACAATAAAATTTAAGAAAATGCTACAATCTCGTCATGGATTGATTCCGTGAGGATTTTTAGTCATTAAATAAACATATAACTTCCATGTATCTACAATAACTGTATGGATAAAAACCCTCACGGAATCATTCCGTGACGGGATTGTAGCCTTTTCCTAAAATTTAAAGTGTGATAGTGGAGTATTACATGTCAATTGATATGACAATAAAATTTTATTTTGCTCTTGTAACTTGACCCCTTTTTGATTTTGTCCATCAATTTATCCAACTTCAATATTAGTATAATATTAGTATGTGATATAGGGTACCATATCGAGTCAACCAAATTAGTGAAACCCGACTACCAGACTAGATCAACAAGGCAGTTTGAGTTGTGGCCCTATATCGACCGGAAGGCAATAACCAGGGTGACAATGACCTGCTGAATGGAAGAGTCAATCACGAGATGAGCTCACGTCGAGTTCAACCACTTGATGGACCAAAATGTCGACCTCATGAGCAATTGGGGAACTGGAGAAGAAGATGTTCTACCTAATGTATGTTCTACCTGATGACGTGGACCTAGACCCATGAACAGGACAAAAAGGCATCTAACTCTGGGATAACGCCATAGTAGTAGCAGTAAACTTTTAGGGTTGATAGACAATCGTCTATGTTCAATGTACTTAGACTAAGTTATTTTCATATCTTTAAAATAAATATAAATTCCAAAGAATATATAAATTATAATAATTCATATATATTACTATTTGAGTCTAAAATTTATATTTCAAAATACTTAAATATTATTCTTGAATTTTAGATAATACGTATATAAATTAATTTGAATAAATCATATTATATATTGAACACTTTGAAAGGTTTATATTTATTCGTTCGGCTAAATACTAATTTATTAAATATTTAAAATAATGTAAAATAATTTTAATAATAATAATAATAAGTTCAAAATTATGACTTAAATATTTTGGGGTGCTACAATCAATCAACTCTAGAAACTTATAAAAAACAACAACAACAAGAATAATAATAATAATAATAATTATAATAATAATAATAATAATAATAATAATAATAAATTTTCATCTAAATTAATTTGCTATGATCCCTTAAAACTATAAAAGTTACATTACCAATAAACTTTTTTTCAATCAATATAGTGATTCATATATGCTTAAATAGTTTATATTTATACTAATTTATTTTTAGTAATGACGAAAATTTATAAATATGAGATGTCCTAATTTATAATTTTAATAGTATATTCCTACACATAACTTAGAGTATTTTTTTTTACGTTTGTGCATGTGCGCAGAATAATTACTGGTTGATAAAAATAACAACTTATCGAATCAAAGTTTTGATACTAAAATATAAGAAAATAAAAATAGTCAAATACAAGGTTCTGATAATCGAACTGATCATTGAACTGGTAGCTTTACTGGTTCAGTGATTTAATAGTCTAACAAGTGGTTGAACCAATACTTATTTTGTTAATATTTTTAAATAAATATATATATAGTAATTCTAATAATAAATTTTCTACATAAAATGTTTTTATTAAATATTTTGATTATTTGAATCATTCAAATGACTAAATTAATTGATACATTAATTGATAAATATCCAAAAATATTTAAACATGTATTTTTTTATATTAAAAAAACGACCCAAGCAGTTGGTTTTTTTACCGGTTTTGACAGGTGCGACTGGTCAAAGACCGGTTCTTTACTGGCTCATGTGCAAGCCGTTTCACCAATAGAATTAAACCGGTTAGAGGACTAGTTTTCGATCCCAATAGAATTAAACCGATTAGAGGACTAGTTTTCGAACCGAGCAGTCCCATCCTATTCTCATAACAATTTCCTACGCATATCCTGAATCTTCATCATAAATTGTAATCAGTAAGCTATTTCAAAGATCAAACTATTCTCTACTGATGAGAGACAGACCCAAATGCTCAAAATAATTCTCACTTAATAATCACCGTGAATCTTTTTAGCATTATAGGTTACTCCTGGTGTAATTTACATTTCAATCCCAGAAATAAAGTGGGAAAACTGGAGAAAAAGCTACACAAGCTGCGGAATCTCAATTGTAAATAAACAGTTCAACAACATATTCAGTTGGTCCGAATTACGAGTTCTTCAAATCCGACAATGCTTCCCGAGTCGTGGATGAGATTACAGCATCCGAAGCATTTGGCAGATAATAGTATTTTCCTGAAAAGAAGGCAGGAAATTTTATGGCCAAAATTTCATTCACAAATATGAGAGAATAATAAACAAAAACTTCAAACAAACGCACCTTGAGCAACTCGAGCTATCTCCTTAGCAAAACCGGTTGAGACAAACTTATTTTCAGTGTCAATGACAAGGAGCGACATCCCTGCTTTATATATTTTCCCGGCAACCTCAAGAATCTCATCCTGAAAATAATATAACAAGTAGTCAAACCAATTGAGTGTTACTGTTAGAGAAAACATACAAAAGTAATTATGAAACTACCCATGAAGCTCAAGTTCATTA